TGGATGTGATTTTAACCGGCGGATTTTAAAATGAATCTCTGTTAGTAAAACCGGAATAAAATGGACATTTTTGGTTACAGTCGCTGCAGATAACGTTTGTTTGGATTTTTTCAGTAAAGTCACACGAATTTTACTTTCAGCAAACTCGCTATGTGGACACGATAGTGCAAATGTCATTATAACAGATCGTATGAGCAACCAGTGGACCGTGACGCATGACTTCGCCTAGGCCAAGGCCAGATTTCGCTGAATATTGTACCGCCCCTTTGCTCCTTCTGTCCAGGGTACCTTTAAGCAGGCCACGGCACCATGGTGCTTGAGCACCTGCAGTGCTTGGATGCATCTCGCATCTTTTTTCACTCTAGAGCCACCTGGTGCTCGTCACGAACCAGAAAAAACTGCAGAATGAACAGACAAGCTGAAGGGTCGGCAATAAACTGCAGTGGTTACTCAGCACCAGAGAATCTAGGGAAGTTCATCGACGGTTTCAGGATGAAGAAGACCGACATCAAAACTCGGACGAACGATACGCGTCACAGTTCCACATCGACAACAGTGATTGGACGGCTGATGGAAGACTGCACCAGTCTGCGTTTCAGAGGGTGGGAACCACCATCAGGAAAATCGCTGGTTGGTCGCCAAGGTATTGTTTCACCAACAAGCGTTTGATTCATAGCGTTAACGAATTTGATGTCGGTCGCTCGGATCGGTAGCGTATCGACAAATCTCTGAAAAAGTCTAAATATTTTCGAAGATCAGCGTAGTACTGATTATCTTAAGCGAAAGGAGAATTTGCTGCTTTACATATGCGTGAAAGTTCGCAACTGGCCTAACTTACGTAATAATAAATCGATCCAGAAATAAGCTTTGAATGGTCCCGTCGTTGCGTTGAGTGTGCCTGCTTGTTGGGGTCATAATCCTGACCCATTTGCATAGGCAGCACGTCCCTCGCTTGTGATGCTCGTTGAATTCTCAGCTTTTTGTCACTTTGTCATTAGTCACTGGTTACTGCATCGCAGAAGGAAATGCTTCACTCTGATAGCAGATCTGTCTGCCTCTATATTGTTCCTCATTGTTGCATGTTGGCCTCCTCGATTTTTGTCGCGTTTTGCTACCCACCAGAGTGGTTGGCGAGTTGGAGTAAATGGTTGATATTCAAGCGGTACGTCTGATAGATACAACCTCCCATTGTTAATCTCCACACCTGAGGTTATCTGTGCCCGGAACAGAATAGTCGTTCCATACATAGTCATACCATTCAGCCCCCATTATGCATCAAAGCCAACGTTGATGGACGCAATTCAACCTTCGTTTTAGCCCAATATACGGAATCACCATAACAGGAAGAAGCACGAGGTGTATTCTCTGCGACTGTTGTTTCTGGAGGCATCTAAAACTCCGAAATGACAGACCGAGCTGGCGATCACTAGCTGAAAAATCTCCTACTGCCTTTACAGCAGCCGGTCAAGAAGAAATACCCTGTCTAATAGACCGGTAGTAAAACCGAGAACCCAGGACGCATAAATAGATTTTTGGGAAAAAAATTTACACTCACCGGCACAACGTCAATGTTCTGGAAAAACAACCACCGTAAAACGAGTTGCTAAAATCAAAATTGGACCATTACAGACATAGCAGGTCATAGTATTTATTTTAATATTTGATATTTCGGCCAAACAACATCGGCCATGATCATGAAACACAAATTCTTGCAAGGACGTCAGCGAGACAGCTTCCAAAGGGAGCAAAAATCATGATTAGAGGTTGCTTCGCGATCAGTAGAATTTGATGCGTTGGGCAACTGCCAATGACTCCAATCCCATCCCGTCACGTTCCCATGCTTCCGGACTTCCGAGCTGTCCGGCATTCAGCATTCACCGGTCGAAACTTCAGTAATCGTCTCTTTTGCGGCTGTACGTGAACGACGCGTAGCGAGGCGGCAAAGAGGTACGTGAGTACGTGTCTACTTCTACCGAGGCAAGGCACGACGCGGGGATACCTCATTGTCGGCAATTAGTCGTTTGACTGCCAGCGAGCGTCCTCACGACTCTGCGTAATTAACTGCTTAATGGCGATATTGCTAGAAGCCTCATTAATCTATGCGCGACGCGCAGGCACGGCTTTCTTACATCGTCGCTCAAGCACCGTCGCCCATTCTGTGACGCCGTCCATCGCCAACACGAGTGTTAATTACCCCGCCCCCGGTCACGGAATGACTGAAATTCCACCGTCGGCCGTCATCGCGACTCCAAGCGCGTACGACGAAAATCTGGGTCGAAAACGCTACCACTTCGGTGTTTGGTCGCCATGCCTCGTGGACGGTGGATTGTTGAAAGCTGCAGGGGATCGGCTGGTCAGAACAGCGCGAGTACCCGGAACGAAAGGGAGGGATTTGCCTCGAGAAGCGACTTGACTCGTCGCACGTCATTCGACTGCTTGTCTCAGCCGAGGTTTCGGCTCGATGTAAACTGTTTATCACCCTATTTCTGCAAACATTTCGATACGGATTCTCTTCCTGTTGAAATTACCTACGACCTCATGGTGACGACGCGACATAAGCCTGTGAATTTTTTTTGGAAAAACATTGCCACCGAGGCATGAACAAACAAACAAGATGGAAATTTATGTCCATAAGAATCAGTGTCCCTGGCGCATTCCTGAAATGCTGCATTTGTAACAGAACTGCTTTCTTTCGTTCAGCCCATAATGGAGTAACGATCTCGTTGCGATGCCGCCAGCCATAAGTTGAAGAACATCCTCAAGACTCATTTTCCAGAGGGGAAACAAATTGCAGGGCGGTTGCTACGCGGTTACTGAAAATTTACTCATTGCGAACTACATACAGCTACATAAAAACAACCCACGTGAGACCGCTGGACCACTGCGCTCTGTCCCAGTAGCCGCATAGGAGTGTCCAGTTTATGAATGTAGGTACCCACAGCTACGAGTGTAATCAATCACAGCGTGACGTTTCTCCTCTTGCTTTTCTCTTGCGTATCGCAGTACTCGTTTATCGACCTCGGCAAGATGAAAGGCAACCTTGACCGAAATTCGAAACGTCCACTCTGTCGATTGTCGGTTGGATACTCAGGCGGCTGAGTCATCAAACCGGTTCAAGAAGAAGCACGGTCTAGTGAGCACAGCCGTAACAATTAGTCGACTTAGACAGTGCCATCCGTTGCGCAACAATGGCTGGTGGCACTCGAAATAAGTTCGGTCTTATTGATGCTCAGGGCAACGAAATCAAATCTGCCGGCCATGTCAACTTATACTGTAAATGAAAGCGAACAACAGGTTATTGTTTCTCACTGAGAATGGATCGATATTAAATGACCTTAATGCCCTCTTGCTGAGTCGAGTTTTGCATTCTTGCCTGAGCCATCGACAAGAAAACCTCGACAATGCTTATAGTGCTATTCTCTCCCTCTGTCATGGATTCGTCAATTTTGAACATATTGAATGTGTAGCTGTTCTCTTTTTTGGTGGCTTTTCCGTTGAACTTTCTAGTAAGTTGCATTCTCTTCCTAGATGGAGATCGAGAAAATGGGTAGACGAATCTATGCTTCTTCAAGCTCTGTTCATTTATACATAAGAACGATGGCTCAGTGATTCCGCCCTGATTTAATGGTTTACTTAGGCAGATTTGCGTGAGCGACATTCAAAGGTAAGTCAACCGCGGTTTTCATGTCTTCGCTAATCAATTGGCGCAAAACTCCCTGAATACCAGAACTCACGGAGTCTTGAGCCGACTCCCTGCTTCTAGCTGTCGTGAGGCGGGCATTTGAAAAGGCTAGGGCTCTTTGACATTTGAGCACCTACAGTGGAAGCTGCATCTCGCAACATGTTGTTCGCTAGAACAATCTCATGCAAATCACGAACGGTGTTCCGGCAGCTGGTACTCCTTAAGGTATGGTGGTGCAGTGTTACGAGGTCGGCAACGAACTCCGAAAGTGTCGCGTTCGATTCCACCGGAGGGCAATGTCTCCTTGCAGCTTTGTCTTAATGACGAATTTCCTTGAACAAGGAATTTACCATAGGTTCTTGTACTACGGGTTTGTTCAGTCGTAAGGCATCGGACTCAAAAACGACAGGCTCTGGGTTAGAGTCCCGGTCGGGTTCACTCTCTTTTCTTGCTTCGAAGGATGATTAATTAAATGAGTACCACTCTGTACTAGGCACGAAACAGAAGACTACACAGTATGCTATTTCTGCGACTCTGCTTTTCAAATAAGGTACTCCTGACTGATGACATGGAAATGGAGATCAGTGCCACATCATTAATTTCATAAAAAAAAGGGCGTCAGAATGGCCCCATCAAGAAGGTGTAAGGACCACCGAAATGCCTGTGGCTGCAAACGTTCTCTTTTTACTACTTATGCCCTACCGCGTCAACATCGAGACGTACACTGCAATGCTCGAGTATGTTACGTGGCGCACAACCCCTCGAAGACCAAATTTTTCAGTATATTCGGCTCTCTGAGTTAATGAGAGGTCCCCAACAGCTATTGTTCTTTCTACAAAAACCAACTGCCCCGTTTTTCGCAATGGCATGCTAATGCGTAATAATTAGTTACTCACTTCTCATGTGTGGAGACACGGTTGAGTTTCTGGAGAACATTTTGCCTTGTAAATATGTCGCAAACAGTTAATCGTTCTATTACTTTAATGGCTAACATATCTGATTACGAGGAGGGTTATATGACTGATAAAACTACTATAACCAAGGTGACATCATGCCCTTGAATCCTGAGGTTAGCAGATCTTCTAACTCGCTGCCAACTCCCGTGACAA